GAGCGCTCTACCACTTGAGCTACAGCGCCACTTCCGGTTTTCTGGTGGTTTATTGGAGATAGGAGTCTCACAGTCTCTCCTGCCCGGGCTGGCTTTGAACCGCGATCAGATCTCAGCCTCCTGAGTAGCTAGGATTACAGGCGTGAGCCACCAGCGCCCAGCAAGGGCAGTTGAAAGCATGAAAGCATTCTTATAAAGTAATAATATAAGCCAGGTGCTAGAGGCTCACATCTGTAATCTAAGAGGCTGAGATCTGAGTATCATGGTTTGAAACAAGCCAGAGCAAGAAAGTCCTTGAGATTCTTTTCTCTTAAAAAACACCAAAAAAGCCTCAAGTAGAGAGAGCTGTTGCTCAAATAGTAGAGTAGCCTTGAGCAAAAGCTCAATGACAGCACCCAGACCCTGAATTCAAGCCCCAGGATCAGCAAGCACGCACGCACGCGCACACACACACACACACACACACACACACACACACACACACACACACACACACACAGAGCAATATGACCCAGCCACCAGACGCCTGTAATCCTAGCCTCTGAGGTGTCTGAGATCTGAAGATCACAGATCGAAGCCAGCCTGAGCAGGAAAACCCAAGATTCTCATTTCCAATTAATCACCAGAAAAGCTGGAAGTGCAGCTGTGGCTCATGCTAGCCTTGAGCAAAAATGCTCAGAGACAGCACTCAGGTCCTGAGTTCAAGCCCCAGAACTGACACACAAAAAAAGAACAGAAATGATGGGAGTAGAGGTGTAGCTCAAACAGTAGAGCACCAACCTTAACCAAAAAAGCCAAATAAATATGAGGTCCTCAGTTCCAACTCTAGTACTGATACATATATACACAACATAACAGTTACTATGCTATAGTCTAGGAGCATAGTAGGCTACACATGAGTACACTCTATGTTAGCACATTAAAATCACTCAAGTACACACATCCCAAAAGCTATTCCCATCCTCAAGTGACATACACATAGCTTCATAGAAACCATAAAGATCACATGCATAATAGGTACACGTAATAGATGGATTACAATTATATACAACACATAGAAACTCATGTACACAGCCATCAAAAATCACATGCTAAATGCATACACATATATATATATGCAAAATCATATACAAAATCACATACAATATATACGCAGATATATCTAATAGTTACAAGCATAATATAAACATCTACACATTCACATGCAGAACTACACACATATATCCACACACAAAAAACAATTACTCAGAACACGTTCATATATGCATGCGCAGCACATGCTTGTCTATACAGCGAAATACAAACAATGGCACATAGTAGACACACATTCACTCATTCGCACACTGAGTGGCCAGAATGTGTGCAAAAGCTGGGCCAGGCCCCTCCCCTACATAAGCATTGAGGTGTGTCCTGATGCAGAGAGAGGTCAGGACAAGCTCCTCACCTTTGGGCAGGGCATCCTCAACTCAAGCTGCCAAGGCTGGTAACCAGTCTTGTAGAGACCCCTTTTTTGTTTTGTTTTGGTTTGGTTTTTTGTGGGTCGTGGGGCTTTAACTCTGGGCTCTTCCCTCAGCTCTTCAGCTCAAGGCAAGGGCTTGTAGAGACCCCTTTAGGCCTGGATTATAAATACAACTTTCCACCAGGGATGACATGATGTGGGGGGAGGGGGGCCGGAAGAGTTGGGGGGGTTGGGGGGAGAAAGAGACTTGTGGACAAATCTGGACACAAAAAGCCTTTAGGCAGGAGCAGAGCTGGAGCATTGTGGGAAAATGAGAGCAGCACCCCTTTCCCCACCTCCCATCAGTCACGGGGGCAAACCACAGCCTGTCCAAGTCGAGTGCTAAGCAGTCTTACTCTGCACCCCCCACTTGAGTCCAGAAGGGAGAGGGGAGGTTACCCAGAGCAGGGCTGGACACCATGGGCAGTGTGGATGGGAGCCAGTGCCCTCCACCCCCAGGGCCCTCAGCTCTCAACACTACAATGTATTTGTATAACCGGGCTCATGCCTGTAATCCTAGTTACTCAAGAGAGTGAGGTCTGAGCATCATGGTTCAAAGCCAGCCACGGCAAAAAGTCCATGAGACCCTTATCTCCAATTAATTGCCAAAAAGCAGGATGCGGAGCTGTGGTCTGGCTTTAGTGAGAAAAACTAAAGGACACTGCCCAGGCTCTGAGTTCAAGCCCTAGGACACACGAACACACAAACACACGCACAATTTTCATCATTTTTAGATACTTAAGCTTCCCAGTGAGTTTTCTTTGGTCTCTCTTGTGACCTAAACTGCACACTTTGTGTTCCCAGAAGTGAAGAGAGGAGGTAATAAACCCCAGACTGTGGATGGGACATTTGTAACATATATCACCTGTCCTTCCTCTACCTGTCAGCCAGGTTAGGAGGATCCCATTCCCATGGGAAAAAAAAAAAAAAAACAACTGGTCCGGCGCTGGTGGTTCACACTTAATAATCCTAGCTACTCAGGAGGCTGAGATCTAAAGATCATGGTTCAAAGCCACTCCTGGTCAGGCAGTCCATGAGACGCTTGTCCCCAATGAATTATTCAGAAAACTATTCAGAAAAAGGCAGAATTGGGGCTGTAGCTCAAGTGGAAGAGTGCTAGCCTTGAACACAAAGAGGTTTAGGGACAGTACCCAGGCCCTGAAGTCAAGCCACAGGACTAGCCAAAAAAAAAAAAAAAAAAAAAAATGGGGGGGGGGGGGGGATGAGGGGGGGGGCTGGCAGACCAAGGCTCAGCAGTAGGTCCAGGATCTGGGCTCAACTTTGTCAGGAGAGCTAGGTGTCTGTCATACTGCATCCCACAGGGACTGTGCCCATGAAGGACAGGACCAACATCATCACAGACACAAAATGCCCAGCAAAACCAAGTGGATGTGGTATGTGACAAAAATCAGTTCTGAAGGCCTGATGCCCTGTCATAAGAGAGACAGCAGCAAATAGCAAGCTAAGGGAGGTCCTTCTTCGGTGGGGGGGGGAGGGGGGAGCAGTGAGAGGAGGGTTCCCAGGTCTCTAGGTATTATCCTGGAAGCAGGTAAGTCATCAGGCACAAGGGTTAAAATGTGGGACAGATGCGGGGGGGGGGGGGGGGGGTGGCCTGGAGTTTCATTAAAAAAAAAGTAGATCAGAATTCGTATTTACCTAACAACAACCCCAAGTGTTATTGTATGTTTACCTTTCATCAGATAAAAATATGGCATCTGTCAGGGCTGAATGTCTACGAATCATTGCATCATGCTCAACACATTGCCACCTGTGACACAGGTTCACTGAGTATGTTGCTTTATCATGAGGACAGGAAGGAGAAAAGCTAGGGAACTCAAGCCCTGAAGGTTAATTTTACTGAACCCAAAGGCAGTTCCTACAAAGGGACATATGGATTCTCTCCTTTTAAGGAAAAGAAGTCCAAGTGTTGAGAGGCCAAAGGACCTACAGAGCTCTGGCCTAGGGAAAAAAAGGCTCCAGAAGATACAACTTATAACTTAAAGAGAAACATCTCTGAAGAAGAAATAAGAATGGCCAGTAGACATATGAAGAAATGCTCAACCTCTCTAGCCATAAAAGAAATGCAAATCAAAACAACATTGAGATTCCACCTCACCCTAGTTAGAATGTCTATAATCAAGAATTCGAATTCAAGCCCACTACCGACAGAAAAAAAAAAAAAAACTCTAATAACAACAGATGCTGGAGGGGATATGGACAGAAGGGAACCCTCTGCATTGTTGGTGGGAGTGTAAACTTGTTCAAACACTTTGGAAAGCTGTAGGGAGGTTCCTCAAAAGACTCCACATAGAGCTCCCCAAGACCCAGCAATCCCCTTTTGGGCATTTACCCAAATGATCACAAACAAGACCATACTAAAGCTACCAGCACAACTATTGTTTATTACAGCATTATTTACCATAGCTAAGATATGGAACCAACCCAGATGCCCCTCAGTAGATGAATGGATCAAGAAAATGTAATACACACACACACACACACACACACACACACACACACACACACACACACACACACACACACACACACACACACACATATGGAATGCTATGCCTCCATCAGAAAGAATGGCATTGCCCCATTTGTTAGGAAATGGAAAGACTTCGAAAAAATTATATTAAGTGAAGTAAGCCAGGCCCAAAGAAACATAGGTCCCATGGTTTCCCTTACTTGCAATAACTAGTATATGTCTGGGACAAGCAGAAAAGGTCAAAAGCTATGTACATATGACCAGATAAGATGATGTTAAGTGAAATGAACCCCAAGGTAAAGATACAAGTGTTTTTTTCTTTCTTGATATTGTTCGTAAGTATTTATAATGTACCATGTGATTTTTTTTTTGTTTCTTTGTATGTTCCTCCCCCACAGTATAATCTGTTTTCACTGTATGTGATGTCAGTGTCCTGCATCTTGTATACACTTCTCTAGCTTAGGGAGGGGAAGGGGGAAAAAATGCTTAAATAGGGACAGGTTAACCCATTGTAACAATGAGATGTACAAGACACTATGTTGAAAAATGAACTTTACAATTTAGGCGTGGAGGGAGGGAAGGGTAGAAGTGTAGTTGTGGAGGTGGGAGGGAAGGGATGGTAGGGGAAAAACAAAGGAGGAGTTAACAATGCTCAATAGGAAATGTACTCATTACCTTGCTCATGTAACTGTAATCCCTCTGTACAGGATTTTTACAATAAAAAACGTATTAAAAAAAGATACAACTTATAAAGACAGTCCAAACAAAGCATCTACATTGCTGCTCAGGAAGGAGGCTACAATCCAGAGGATGGCAATTTGAGGCCAACCAGGAGAGAAAAGTTGGCTTGACTCCATCTCCAAAATAACCAGGCTGGAGGCATGGCTCAGATGGTAGAATGCCAGCTGAGCAACAAGGCCCAGCAAATTTGATATTGGTGAGGGGACACGACAGACAGACAGACCTACCACCAAAGTAAAAAGGCCCCCAAAAGAAACACAAAGGACTGACCTGTTCCCGGTGGACTTGTACACAGCAGGGTGTCACCACCTTAAAGGGAGAAGAAAGAGGTAAGCCAGGGGATTCTCAGAAAACTTAGCTTGAGAAAGCGCAATAACTGAAAACAACAGAATCCAGGTTTTGTTAACTTTGGGGAAGTTTGAGTTCTTTTTTAAGGCTTTCAGAAAAAAAATCACAGGGCCTCCCATGAACAAGGCTATCACTCAGAGTGCCAACTTCTACTGCAAGCAGCTGGTGGCCCCAGGGCAGAAACTTCCAGACCCATCAGCCCTTTGGCACTGAAGCACCTGGGAAGCTGCATTCAGAAAACATGGAGGGATCTGCACAGTGGGATTCAAGCTGTCCCCAAGCCACCCCACCTCAGACCCACACCCGCGCACACTGCTCTCCAGAGTGGACTGCCCTCTGCAGGTGGAACTGAGAGCGGACAACAGGTCCTTCCGGTGGCTCTACCACAGCCCTCTGACAGCCAGAGAGCTTCTCATTAAGAGGGGCCAGAGGCTCACGCCTGTCATCCTAGCTACTCAGGAAGCTGAGACCCTGAGGATCACAGTTTGAAGCCAGCCCAGGCAGGAAGGCCCATGAGACTCCATTAAACTACCAGAAAGGCCAGAAGTGTGTTGCTCAAGTGGAAGAATGCTAGCCTTGAGCACAAAAACTCAAGGACAGCACCCAAGCCCCAGTACTAGTATTATAAAAAAAGAAGTAAAAATTAATTAATTAAAGGGTTAAAATGCAAGGGCTGGGGATGTGAAACTGTCACCAGATGCAAGCACAAGGCCGTGAGTTCAAAACCCAGCTGGGGGTTTGAGGGCAGAGGAGCAGGGGGTAGGAGAGGAGGCTTACATATATCAGGTCAAAATGGTAAGACTCAGGCCTGAAACCCAAACAGAAAAGGTCACCATCAGGCATGACTGAGCCAATGGAGACAGAAGGCAACTTACTCTAGCTAATTGCCATGAGCCTCAGTTTTCACATCTGCTATGGGGAATATCAGTCTCTTCCTCTGCAATGTCTCTGTGAGGCTCAAGAGAGTAGGCTCTGAAGAGTGCTGACACAGAGCAGGGTCTCTGCTCATGAGAACACAGAACATCCCATATTCATGTGGGGTTAGGGGGTCAGACTAGAACCTGACCAGAAACAGCATCTGCGGGAAGGAATCCAAGTCTGGCTCCCCCGCTGCTGTGCTCAACTCATTTTCTTTCTAAAAATGTGGAAAGGAGGGGAGATGCCAGGGAGCTGACTAACTGTCACTGCAGCTGGAAGTGGGCGGCAGCATGACCCTGCCTCTTCCTTTGGCAATTATTTATAGCTCTCTTGCTTATCTTCCTCAATTAAGTTCCTCAAGGAATATGTGAATGGTCATTCTTCTGTCTGGGACACATTGCTCCACCAGGATTATGACTCATGTTAGCTGGGGGGCAGGGATCTTCTGTCCTGGCACCTGATCTTCCCTCTAGCTAGCTATCCCACCTGCGCATGCACACACATGCGCTCACATACACACAGCACCTAATAAGCAGAACACGTGGATTTTTATCTGTGTGTTCTCAGTTCTGCAGGAACACGTTGCAGTTTGAGGAAGGGAAGAAGGAATGAGTTTCTAAATGGCTTTGGAAACAGACAGAGCCTTCTAAAACAGAAGCCATTAAGAGATTCAGCCCAAAGCCCTTATGCGTGCTGCATCCCAGATGGACCACATTCCAGGACCAGAACTAGGTGGATCTGGACAGCTGACCAAGGAAGGGCATCTCGTAAGAATGGAGAGCAGGTGATGGATCCAGGGTGGCACATCACCTGCTTGCTCCATCTCCAATTCTGGCTCTGGCTGCGACTTTTCACTCGGCAGAAAGGAAGTGTCATGGGCAAGGTTTGTTTGACTAACCTTCCTTGGCATGAAGATGCTGATGTCCCTTTAGGGTCTCAACCCAGCCATGGACAGACCCTGAAAACTCAGCAGTAGCTGGCTGACACTGAGAGCCAGTGGGAGGCACCTAGCTGGGCTCTGCCCAGGCCACAAGGCAATTTTTTTTTTTCAGTTGTAGAGCTTGAACTCTCAGCCTGAGCGCTATCCTTCAGCTCTTCAGCTCAAGGCAAGCACTCTACCACTTGAGCCACTTCTGGTTTTCTAGTGGTTTATTGGTGATAAAAGTCTCACGGACTTTCTCGCCCGGGCTGGCTTTGAACCATGATCCTCAGATCTCAGCTTCCTGAGTAGCTTGGATTACAGGTGTGAGCCACTGGCACCTGGCGGTAATCTCTTTTTTTAATGTCAGTCATGTTGAACTCAGAGCCTGGGCAATGTCCCCCAAGGCTAGCACTCTATCACTTTGAGCCATAATGCCACTTCCTGTTTTCTGGTGGTTAATTAAAGATAAGAGTCTCATAGACTTTCCTGCCTGGCCTGGCTCTGAATCATAATCCTCAAATCTCAGGCTCCTGAGTAGCTAGGATTACAGGCATGAGCACCAGTGCCAGGTTGATAAGGATAAGGCTGTCCTGTCCAGGGTCCCAGAGCTCCGTGACCACCGCCCCCTCCCCTCAATGTAGCCCTTCTGAGCAAGCCACATCAAAGCTGACAACTAGCTGAGAACACATCAGGACAAACCCCCAGGAAGGCCCCTCCATAGATCAAACCCACAGACACGTGACCACAGGCCCAAGCACTGTCTGCAAGCTTTCATCCTGAGTCAGACAGGGGTTACATGCAAACCCTCGCAGAGTCTGACCAACTACAATTCTCCTAAAGTCCTTGGAAGTCAGCGACAAGAGGTGACTGCAGTGGGGGTGTGGAGAAAGCACAGCGCTCTCACTGGCAACCAAAGCAAAACCTCCAGAGAGAGCCCTGGACTGTGAGCTGTGAGTAGGGGCACTGGGCCCTGGCACTCCCTCTCCTGAGGGTGGCCAGGCTCCTTGGAGAGGCCTGCGTAAGAGCCACTTTATGGCCTTCTCTCAGCTCTGCTTGGGGCCTAATCTATAGTTACCACGGACAACCACAAACAAACAAGGCTGTGCCCAACCCACACCTGCTTATGTGGGCGCCTGGATCTCCTGATGTCGATAACTCTTGTCTCCCAGCCAGCAGGTCAACAGGAGGGAGGAGAGGAGTGGGGGGAAAGGGACAACTGCACCCCAAGGGTGGGCATGTACATCAGGGGGAGTGTCTGAACATGAGAGTGGATATTTAAAGTGAAGCAAGGTCCCTGGGTCTGATCTCTAGCAACACAAGAAATAAAAGTGAATAGACCTGGAAAAAATTATATTAAGTAAGCCAGACCCAAAGAAAAGTAGGTTGCGTGATTTCCCTCATTTGTAAGAACTAGATAGAGTATGTCTATGATATTCTAAACAAGATCTCAATAACCCAGCTGCTTAGTGCATGAGACCATATGTAATGAAGTATGTCCACATGAACTACAAGATATGGAAACAAGAGGTTCTTATTAGACCCTGTATGTTGTTTGTTCTGTTTTTCTTTTCATTTCCCTTAGTTTTCTGTCCCTTGTGTCTTGCATATAAGATTATCCAATATGCGGAAGGAAAAGGGAATTGCAGAAACAGCTGGACAAAGTATGAACATTGATACTCACTTGACACTATGTTGGATAGGAACATTACAACTTGGGGGGGGAGAGGGGAATAGGGAGGGGTAAGTGGGAGATAGGGAGGGATGGGGTAACAATGATTAAAAACAAATGTACTCATTACCTTACTTATGTAACTGTAACCCTGCTCATCACCTTTTCAATAAAAATGAAATATTTTTAAAAAGGGAATAGAGTGGGTTAGTATAACAGTGTGTTAGTGTGCGCATGCACACACGTGTGTATCTGCATATCTATATGTGAGGGGGGTTGAGGGGGGTTGCAAGTTCTCAACAGTGAGTAGCTGAGTGTCTGTGGCTGTGTGAACGGGTGACCATGTGTTTGAAATGTGTTTCTGTGTGTCTGTGTCTATATCTACAACTCTGGTGAATGGCAAAGCTCCACCCTACCCCACAAGCACACTCTCCTCTCAAAAAGGCCTCAGGTTCAGAGATAGGGCTACCTGGCCTACTCCCTCTGGGAGACCAAAGTCCCAGGGGAGAAAGGACAATTCCATTCAACACAAGCTTGGCAGACACAATTAAACTATAAACTATGCTTTTGTTGTTACTATTAAATTTTACCTTGGACAAAGCCATACAAAGCTGGATGCTGGTGACTCACACCTATAAGCCTGGCTTGATGTTTGAAGTCAGCCTGGACAAAGGGTCTAGGAGACTCTTGCAACCAATTAAATAGCAAAAAACTAAAAATGGATGTAGTAGAGGGCCAGCCTTGGGGGGGGGGATGTCAAGGGAGAGAGTAAGGCCCTGAGTCAAAGCCCCAGTACCAGCATTTAAAAAAAAAAAAAAAAAGTACATAGCAAGAGTGAGATTTTTTTCTAAAAAGTCTCTAAAACTTCATGGCTATAATCACTAGCATTATGAAAAGAGTCAAGGTAAATTTGAGTTTGTTCAGCCATCTGTGAATCATCGAAAATTCCAATCATGTTGGGTCATATAAATGAACTTTCTAGAACCCCACAGAAATCTGAGAGAACCCACCAATTCCCAGCATGTTTTCACTCGTCCCCACACTACAATGGAAGCCGGAGGGCTTGCTTCCTCCGCCTGTTACTTGGCTGCTTGTTCTCCACATAACTCTGTCCCACCCCTCGGCAGAGCTTTCCCCAAGCTGGCATTGAGCAGGCAATAGGCCAATCGTGTGTTCATGCCAGGATGGTAGAAGGTGAATCAGCTAAGGAGCCTCATACAACACTCAAAAGCATTCAATAACTACACACAGAAACTGATGTGTAGCTCCATGAGAGAGCATGATGACAGACCCCAGAGTCTGGAGAGTTCCAGAGCACAGAGTCTGATCCCCAGCACCAAAAGAAATACATAAATAAGGGGAAGGTGGCTCAGTGGTAGAACGCTTGCCTTGCATGAATGAGGCCCTGGATTCGATTCCTCAGCACCACATAAGCAGAAAAAGTAGGAAGGG